TCCGGCCAGGGATAGGCCAGTCTCAGACCCCAGAGACTCTGCTGCCACACCCAGGAGGTCCTGCCCAGCCCGAGGAGGCCACCCCCGTCTTGCCAGGAGAAGCCCATCCCTGCTATGATGGCAAGTGCCGAGCTGTGGGCCGGGCCCAGGCGAACAGCCAATCCGAACGCAGCATCATTGCGGATGCCCTCCCACTGGTGTCAGGTGTCCATCCAACCCAACGAAAAAGGTAACCACTCACCATCAACGATCTTTTAAAAAGGAGAGAAAAGAGAAAGACACAATCAGTTTGACATAAAACATTCTGTGTCATCTGAATGCACAAACGATCACTTCCAAGCATTTATTTCAAATGCAAAATCCCCAGGGGACCAGCACCCCGCCCTGGGGTCTGCCCCCCTGCAGCTGCCGCAGGAAATCTGGGGGAGCTGCTGGCCACGTGACCCAGGAAGTGACTTTACCCTGAGCGGTGTTGTGAGGACTAAGGGAGACAAGGCTACGGCTGCTGGGCACCAGGGACATGGAGCCCAGGACTAGCTCCACACGCTCGCCAACGACAACTCTGACTACACGTGGCCACTGCCAAGGACAGGGACATTACGGATAAGGGTGTGCGGTGCCTAACACACTGTGAAAAGAATGAACTCCCAGACAAAAGCAAGCAGGCGAGGGGACTGATGCGCGTGCACACACCAAGGACCCACTGGACCCAGGGAAAGTGACAGAGACCTGGACGAGTCCCTGCCTGAGAATCAGCCTGACATCCAGAACGTTCTGCACCGACGGTTTCCAGCCAGCTCACAACCCTCAGGGTGACCAGCCACGAGTCTGCGGGACAGCAGCAGACCCACTCCCCCAGCGCCATGGGCTGGGCAACACCCTTCGGGACAGCCCTGTGGCCTCTCCTCACGGACCCTGGCTGGCAGCTCCCACGCAGGGTTCCAGGCTGAGATGCTGGAGTTACTTCTGGAGACCTGCTCCTCCAGCCGTTTCACGTGAAGCGCCTGCTCCCACAAATAAACCATTTTCTGCTTTGAGACAACAGGAGTGGACTCGGGGTTCTAGCCTGACCCCTGACCGGCACAGCCATCCACCCCAGGAAGCAGCAGCATGAAGCCCACATGTGGGGCTACGGAAACCTTCCCCCAGGAGGCTGCAGAGTGACGACCAAACTGGGAGATAGCCCTCACTATGGGGCCACATTTCCTGGGACACAGGGTGGCTGGCAGAGGTACTGTCCACATGAGTCTAGAAGAGGCCATAGGAGGACCACCATCGGGGTGAGTGCGTGGGGAGGGACAGGCAGTGTGCGGGGAACTGGTCCCCACAGACCTGGCACACAGCAGGGCCTCCACACTTAGCGACCAGAGAGCCTCCCTCTCTGGGTGACGGACTGTCCCCATCTTCAACAGGAAAACAGCTCAGAGAGGGGGCAGAAAAGGATGGCACCCCAGCCTGGCCTCGCGGCGCCACGCCCTCCTGCGCCCCTGCTACCTCCTAGCACTTCTTCCACCCAACGGCTGCACCACATCCTTCCGGAACCCCGGAGGCGGGACTGCCCGCTCTGGGTGCCCTCCTCCGGGAGCACATGCTTGCAGGGCAGGAGACAGGTCGGGGAAGGGCACGGGCTTCAGACACGTGAGCTGGAGGAGCAAAGCGACGGGATAGGGACAGCAAAGCTCTGAAGCCTCTCCTCTGGCCGAGAGGCCTTTACGGAGCAAACACCACTTGCCCTGGCCGGGTAGGTCAGTTGGTTATAGTGTCAAGGTTGAGGGTTCGATCCCCAGTCAGGGTACATACAAGAATCAGTCAATGAATTGATAAATAACTGGAACAAATAAGATGTTTCTCTCTCTCTAAAATCAATCAATAAAAAACCAAACAGCCCTAACTGGTTTGGCTTAGTGGTTAGGGCATCGGTTTGCGAACTGAAGGGTCCCAGGTTTTATCCCCAGTAGGGGCTGTACAGGAGGCAGCAGATCAATGATTCTCTCTCATCGATGTTTCTCTCTCTCCCTTCCTCTCTGAAATTAATGACAATTAAAAAAAAACACACACAAAAAAACCCCAAAGTAGCTGTCATAATTTAAAAAACAACAAAAAAGACAAATACCAAATTTAAACAACAGCCATTCAGTCACCCGGCCTCAACAGCAGGCAGAACTAGGGGAGCTGGTCCAGACCAGCAGCCTGGCTTCTCTCCTAGCCACAGACTAGCCACAGGCCAGAGTGTTCAGGACGGAGACACCTGGTGCTCCGCCCCCCCCCCCCCCCCCCCCCCCCCCCCCCCGCAGGACACTGACCCAGGCGTCCCGAGCTTCTGAAGCACAGGCGAGCCTCAGAACACCTGTGAGGGCTGACACTGTCACAGGCTCCTGGTGAGCGGAGGACAAGCCCTTCTCTTAGGAGACAAATACCCAGCATCCCAGGGGCCTCCTAGGGCTGAAGCAATATCCTGGGGTGAACGACAGGGCAGGGCAGCATGGCAGGACCACTGGGGTCCTCTGCACCAGCTGACCCTGGAAATACTAAGGATGCTGCTCCCCAACCCAGAGCTCAGTGTCACCTGCTTTAGACGACCTGGTCCCACTGGAGAACACGGCCACACCCATCACCCAAGGCCACCAAAGGTGCCCACCCAGCAGTTGTACCCTCCCACCCCCCCGCAGTGACAGACACGGAGCGATGACAGATGCTGTTCCTGTGGCAGCGCCAGGAGAACTGCAGAGCAGCCAGGCAACGCGCGCCTGTGCGCAACGGTGTCCCTGATGCCTGGCTGCTTCTTTCTTCACCAGGACTCAGGTTCACTCGCTCTCACTGTGTCCCTCGCGGCCCTCTACTCCTAGACAGATGGACAGGGCTCTGCCCCTGCCCGCAGGAGCCGTGGGGAAGCAGATCCTCTCAACAGTCTCATAAACGAAAAGCCAGGTGGGTACAGACAGTGCGACTCATCCGCGCCCAGGAAAAGACCACATGAAGATTCCGGGAAACCAAGCGGGCTTTCAATGAACCAGTCTCTTTCCAGCCTGGACCACGGCGGCCAGAGCAGACCTGGCCCAGCGCATGCTGGGGGAGCCAGGAGGAGAGCAGAGGAGGGAAGCACACGGGAGGGGTGTCAATAAGCACAGGCTAGTGTTCACCCATCTTCCCACTGAAAACAACAAACAAGATAGGACACATCTTAAAATAAAGAGCTATCAAGAAAAAGGTTTTAGGTCCAAAGTAAAGGGAATATGATAATCTAGATGAGAAAAAAACAACAACAAAAACAGCCCAGCAGTCTCCCGAGACCCTGCAGCGTCCTTGGGAAAGCCTCCCAGCGAAGCCAGGCCCGGCAGGAGCCGTGGCCAGTCAGTGCGGCGGCAGAGTCTCAGCCAATGGCCAAGGGCCGACAGGCAGGACGTCTCTGCGGACCAGTCATGTAAAGAATGAGTAATAAAAACAAAAGAGAGGGAATCCCCAGAGTTTGGAAGTTAAAAAATACAAATATGAAAAATACACTAAACTGAATGTAAGATACCAATAACAAAAACTGTAGGATACAGCTAAAGAAAATGTCATCTTAAATGCATTTACTGGAAAAGAAACAATCAAAATTATTAGGTTAGAAAAACAGCAAAATAAACTAAAAAAAAATCAATGAATAAAAACAAACAAACTTACAAGAGAAAGGGTCCATAAAGCTAAAAGTTGGTTCTCTGAAAGATCTAATTAAGCTCTGGTGATACTAATCTAAAAAGACAGAAAACACAGCTAGTATCAGAAATGAAAAAGAGACATCTCTACAGATCCCACAGAAATAAGACATTACGAACAAAACGTATGCAAATAAAAGTGAAAATTTTAGATAAAATTGACAAATTCCTAAAAAATAATTACCCAAACTCATAACTTAGGGTTAGGTACTATCACTGTAGAGTTCTATCAAACATTCAGCAAAGAAATAATTCCACTGGGCAAAGTCTTCTGGAGAACAGACAAAAAAGGGGGGGGCTAGAGTTACCAATACTGTGATACCGGAACTCTATAAGCAATGTGTATAAAAGAAAAATTACAAACCAATCTTTTTTTTTTTTAATAGATTTTATTGATTTTTTACAGAGAGGAAGGGAGAGAGATAGAGAGTTAGAAACATCGATGAGAGAGAAACATCCATCAGCTGCCTCCTGCACATCTCCCATTGGGGATGTGCCCGCAACCCAGGTACATGCCCTTGACAGGAATCGAACCTGGGACCCTTCAGTCCGCAGGCCGACGCTCTATCCACTGAGCCAAACCGGTTTCGGCACAAACCAATCTTAAAAATAGTTGCAAAAATAACAGTATAAAACATTAGCAAACTGAATCTAGCAATATTCAAAATGATAATTTCACGACAACAATGTTGAATCGGTTTAAGACTAGAAACCAATGTTAATTCTCCACTTCAATGTATGAAAGGGAGAAAAATATCATTAGACGGAGTTGTTAAAATTAAAATGCAGCACTGAATCCCCAGATGAAACCTGCAGCCAAACAGGAAACCGATGAATATCTCCAATCTGATAATGGATATAAACAAACAAATAAATACTCAACAAGAGGTCTTATTAATGGTGAGACTTTGAAAGGATTCTTTCAGATTTGGAATGAGAAAAGAAGGTCACCATTTTCATTTAGATAAAGAATAAAACAGAACTTTAAAACACCATTTTTTGCCGAGGCCAGTGTGGCTCAGTTGATTGGAGCATCGTTTTGTATATGGAAAGGTTGCTGGTTCGATTCCCAGTCAGGAAATGTAGGGAAGGCAACCAATTGATGTTATCTCTCCCTCCCCATCCCCCCTCAAATCAGTAAGCATAACATTGGGTGGGTGAGGATTAAAAACAAACAAACAGAAAAACTCCACACCATTTTCTTTTCTTTTTTAAAAATATGTTTGTACTGATTTCAGAGAGAGAGGGAGAGAGAAACATCAATGATGAGAGGGAATTACTGATTCACCTCCTGCACACCTCCCCTGGGCTCGAGCCCACATCAGGGACTGTGACCTGGTTCATGGGTCAACACCCAACCACTGATGGAGTCACACCAGTCACACCCCACACCATTTCTTTCTTTCTTTTTTTAAATATATTTTTACTAGAGGCCCGGTGCACAAAAATTTGTGCACTCGGGGGGCGGGGGAGGGGGG